TCTATACGAGCTCATCTTCTGCGCATTCCATCATACAATACTTCTCCTATCCAGACTGTTGCTCTTGCTACTACTAGTTCCTCTCTTGCTTTATGACATTCTCGATTAGGTCACGTGTCTTTTAGTCGTTTACGATCTCTAGTTTCAAGTGGTCAATTAGGTCATGTTCCAAATGATAAAGTAGACTGTTTGTCTTGTTAACTTGCCAAACAACCTGTTTTACCATTTCATACTAATACCTCTATGTCTCATGCACATTTTAATCTCATACCCTCTGATGTTTGGGGGCCTTTACCTAATACCACTATGGGGGGATCTAAATACTTTGCCATATTTGTTGATTATTTCACTCATTTTACTTGATTATTTCTTATGAAATTTTGTTTTGAGTTACACCAACTATACTATGATTTTTCACAAATGGTCAAAACTTAGTTTTTTTCCACCATCAAAATTTTTTGTGCTGATAATGCCCAAGAATATAAAGAAACTCATTTTTTGAGATTCCTTCGTCAAAATGGTACATTTTCTCAATATTCTTGTCCTAGTACCTCCCAACAAAATGGTCGTGCTGAGTGCAAACATCGCCATATCTTAGACACTGTTCGTGCTTTTTTAATATCTTCTTCTTGTCTTGAACATTTTTTAGAGGAAACTGCTCTCACAGCCGTCTATACTATCAACCGTGTCCTTTCTCTTACCATCAACAATCAAACCCCATATGAGCATCTGTATGGCACACTTCTGCCTATACTAGTTTTTATGTGTTTGGATGTGCTTGTTTTGTTCTTCTTTAACCTCATAAGCGCACTAAATTAGAACTTCGCATCCCGTTTGTGTTACTTCTCAGAGTATGAGATTGAACATAAAGGTTATCGTTGTTGGGATCATCTTTCTTGTCGTCTCTGTGTCTCTCATTATGTGCTATTTTGGGAACACAATTCTCTTCTCTGTCTAAGTTTCATTTGTTCACTCTTCCTACTACACCATTATTTACAGATCCTTTTCTTCTGTTTAATGAGCTTGATACAAACCCTATTTTCGACATGATGACTCCGATCTATCCTAAGGATTCTGCTTCATCTCCTGGTCCTGCTGCTTCACTCTCTAATCCTAAGCCTGCTCCTGCTCCTATTCCTACTCCTGCTCCACCTTTTAGTCCTGTCTTCATTCCCTCTCATAATGAGCCTTATGCATCCTTTGATTCTACTCCATCATCTTCTAAACCAGAGGTACCTCTTCGTCATTCTACTCGGGTAACACAACCTTCTGTACTTCTTCATGAGTTTATTGTTGGTTCTACTGCTTTTTCTTCTCATGAACCTACTTCTTATCAAGAGGCTTGCTCTAAACCTCTTTGGCGGCAAGTTATGACTAATGAACTGCAGGCTTTTGATGAAACTCATACCTAGGATGTAGTTGACCTTCCACTTGGAAATAGTGTTGTCGGTTGCAAATTGGTTCTGATGGTTCCATTGAGCGTTACAAAGCTCGACTTGTTGCCTGAGAGTTTACTCAAGAATAGGGGATTGATTATGAGGAAACATTTGCCCCTGTTACTCCTCTTACTTCAGTTCGCAACCTCCTTGCCATTGCTACTGCTCGTCATTGAAGTCTTTGTCAGATGGATGTCAATAACGTTTTTCTCAATGGTGATCTCACTGAGGAAGTTTATATGCAACATCCTTCTGGTTCCTCAATTCCGTCCACTAAAGTTTGCAAACTTTATCGCGCTTTGTATGGTTTGAAACAAGCTCATCGTGTTTGATTTGCCAAGTTTAGTTCTACAATTCGTGACTTTGGCTTCTCCCTCGGTGCCCATGATTCTGCTTTGTTTGTATGCAAGACAGAGTGTGGTATTATTCTTCTTCTTCTCTATGTGGATGGATGATATAATCATTACTGGGGAGGACACAGTGAATATCTCTAGTCTCAAACAGCTCCTCAGTCGCCAGTTTGAGATGAAAGATTTGGGTCTATTTAGCTACTTCCTCGGCTTAGAAATTTCTCAAGATCCTTCTGGTTACTTTCTCACCCAAGCCAAGTATACATCTGATCTCTTAGCTCGTGCTGGTTTTACCGATTGCAAGATTGTGCCTACCCCAGTTGATCCTTAGATTCATCTCACACCTCTTGATGGTCACATGTTATTTGATGCTACTTTATATCGTCAGCTAATTGGTAGTTTTGTCTATCTCATGATTACTCATTCAAATATTGCCTATGTTGTTCACATTATCAGTCAGTTCATAGCTGCTCATCACTCTCTACACTATGATGCTCTGGTTCGCATTTTGCGCTATCTTAAAGGCACTATGTTTCATGATCTTTACTACTCAACACACTCTTCTCTACAACTACAAGCCTTTTCTGAAGCAGATTGGGCTGGATATCCTACTGACTGTCGTTCTGCTTCTTCTTGGATAACTCTCTCATTATCTGGCATAACGAGGAGCAAACTTTTATTGCTTGTTCTAGTACTGAGGCTGAGTATCGTGCTCTTGTTGACACTACTCAAGAGCTTGTGTGGCTTCATTGGATTTTTTCTGATATGGGAGTTTCTCATCCTACTGCCACTAACCTTTATTGTGACAATTAGAGTGCTATTCAAATTGCACATAATGATGTCGTCCTTGATCGCACTAAATATATTGAGATTAATTGTCACTTCATACGGGAACATGTTACTAGTGGCACTATTTGTCTTATCTTTGTTATCTCTGCCGATCAGACAACCGATATCTTCACCGAGGCTTATCCTCTAAGACGCATTTCTAACTTACTTTCCGAGTCCAAGTTGATATCTACATTACCAGCTTGAGCTTAAGGGGGTTGTTAACTGTATATATCTATATTACCATATTGTGCATTACTTACCATACTTGGTTTCTCCTTCTATATTGTGTTTTACCATACTTCGCTTCTCCTTCTCCTTCTCCTATATAAGAGTGTTTTGTATTCACTCATATTCATTCATTGAAATACACAGAGTTATATTCTCGAGCGAATTACATTAACAATCCCTATAGTTTACGACTTATATCACTTTGGGTGTGTTTGTTTTGAAGGATTAGGGGGTGGGATTGGACTATTAGTCCCACCGGACTAATAGTCCATTGTTTGTTTCAAAAGTTTTGCGGACTATTAGTCCCATATTTGTGGGACTATCTTATCCCATTGGGGAGGATAGAAATCATGGGATAACTTATCCCATGGGATTAGCCAATGAAATTATATTTTTGCCCTCTAGTATTTAATTTTTATTTTTGTTTTATTTATTTAATTTTTTTAAAATATTTTTTTATAGATATTTTATTGATGTTTTATTTTAAAATTTTGTTTATATTTTATTTAATTTCATTATTTAAATTTTAATAGATGTTTTATTTTATTTCATTATTTAATTATTATTATTATTTAAAATAAATTTATTTAAAATTTTAATTAAAAAATAACATATATTTTTATTTATATGTAATTTATTTAATTTTTTAAAAATAAATTTATTTTATTGTGCAAAAAATAAAATAAAATAAATTTTTATTTAATCTAGTTAAAAATAATTAAAATATTAAAGCTATGTTTAATATTGCTATTACTTATTAAATAATTGAAAAGGATAAAATAGTTATTTGAGCATTTATCATTTTCCATAATATCCCAAACAAATATTAGATTCACTAAAAATAGTTCAATCCAGACATCTGATCCCATGACTAAACAAACATAAGATACAAATCCAGTCCAACCAAATAGTTCGGGGACAACATATCCCAGGACTAATAGTCCGATAGATTACAATCCCCCCTTATCCAGTCCGTCCAAACAAACACATCCTTTGGTCCTTAACTTTTTAATTGTGACACGTTTGAACCTGAATTTTGAATTTTGTTCCAAATAAGGACAATTGAAGATACAATTGCTTAATTTCAAGGACAAAATCGTTAATTTGATAAAATATAAACTAATTTGACAAAAGTTAAATGTCAAAAAAATATTTTTAAATTTTTAAAAATTATTTCTACCAACCAAAGCTAAAATTATGTAAAATTAATAAATCTTTTAGACATTTTTTTCACCAAATTAATTTTTATTACATGTTTGGAATGATAATCATGTAATGGGCGGTTGTTATGATTTTAATGTGTAATCGATATATTTACTATATAAAATGTTTTTAGTTTTGAATATTTTGATTTAACGGATTGGTTTAATAATGATATCAAACTGTCACCATATTTGGCTTTTGGAAAAATGGAAACTAATTTAATGAAAATAAAAACAACCATCCATATCATTATCCAAACACATAATAAAAATTAATTTGGTAAAATAAATAAATAAATAAATATCTAAAGATTTATCAATTTTACATTATTTTATCTTTAATGGGTAAACATAATTTTTAAAAATTCAAAAATAATATTTTGACATTTATTTTTATTAAATTAGTTTATATTTTATAAAATTGATATTTTTTCCTTAAAATTAAGCAATGACATCTTCAATTGTCTTTATTTGAAACAAGATTTAAAATTCAAGGTCAAATGTGTCACAATTGAAAAGTTAAGAATCAAAGTGACACGAACTCTAAACTATAAGTACGGTTAGTGTAATTCGCTCTATATTCTCTCTCTATTCTCATAACAACATCAAATATTGAAAATTACAAAACACAAAAAAGATGATTCAAGAAATTAAATTGAAAAGTAGAAGGAGGGAAAGATGATGGGTGCATAGATATATGGTTTCCTTTTAAACGATACTACATTGGAGAACTAAGCTTTGTACTCTGATTTAAATTTCATCCAAAAAAAAAAAAAAAACACTTCAAAAACCAACCCTAAGTAACGTTGAGGGTAGTGACTAATAGATGAAATTTGACTGTCTAGAAGGGAAACATACATGACTGTAAAAAAAAAAAAAAAGGATGAAAATCAAGAAATACAAAAAATGTGGGGGAGCCAATTGTAAATATAAATAAATTGAAATGCTTTATATAACTTCCCACCACCACCCTCAAACCCTCGAACCTCTCTCTCTCTCTCTTAAATTGAACTTGTTTGTTCAGTTCTCTCTCTCCTCAATCCCATGGCGATTATTACACACAGAGTCTCTCTCCTCCTTCTTTCCATGGCTATCATCTTTTTAGGTAAAATTTAAAACACACATCTCTCTCTCCTTTCTCTGCCAAGTTTCTCTCAGAATATATACATTATACATGCATATAAGCACTGCAGTACATAAGTTTGGATTGGTCAGTTGCATCACTTTTGATTACTAATCCCAATTAATGCATTTTCATCCTTGATTATACCGTTGTTTTGAACTTTTGGATTACCCAAATCACAGCTGTTCAACATTCTGATTCAAACATTGTACTAATATTCCTTTTTTACAGTAAAAATAGCTTTTGGTTGTTTGTTTGTTGAGAAAAAGTAAGAAAGAATGTTTTTTTGTGTCCTAAAATTTTATCTACCTCTCTTTTTTACTTTTGGGTCCTATGCAATTAATTACAATAAAAACACATCATTCTGTTCAGGCATCCTTGATTTTTCTCGCCAACCAAACTGAAACTAGATAGCAAAAACACAAACACTCTCGATAATTCAAATAAAGGCAAATTACACTTGTATTTTGATTCTGATGTCATTTTAATTTTTGTAATAATTTTAATTATATCAATTTTGATTTTGAATTTTTTATATTATTTAAAATTAGTCTACTTAATTTTTTTTATAGCAAATACATGTATAAGCGATATTTGTCAATTTTTTTAGAGTAAAATTATAAGGAAAATGTTATGGACCCCAAACAAATTATCAAATTTTCTATCAAACCTCTCACATGGGTGTGGGATCCACACAAATCAAATGTGTATGGGTCCCACACCCATGTGAAAGATTTGGTAGAAAAATTGGTAATTTGTTTGGGGACCCTAGCATAACTCAAATTATAAACTTGATTCATTCATTAATTTGAACTCAACTAATTCAATTAAAAAAAAAATCAAAAATGTTAAGAGCAATGATTGAGACTCTTACTCCCACAAGACCCCTATAAGACCTCAAAAATCTGGACTACTCATGATGTGGACTCCACACATATATGGAGGATTAGGATCACTTTGGCGTGTGGGGTCATTCCTAAAAGGGATTCCAAACATTTTCCTTTAATGACATTATCAATTAGATCAAATTAATACAAAATTTAAAATTATTAAAAATAAAAAAAAAAATTGAACAAAAAAATAAAAATTGAATCAATTAAAACAATAGGAAATAAAATGACACATGCAACCAAACGGTGGAACTACAAGTATATTCAAATAATTGGTTTGCTGGAATTTAACCCACATCAATTACTGTCCCATTTGCAGAAACCAGAGTTTCATCTACCCTCTTCACGCTTCAAAATCGATGCACCTACACAGTCTGGCCCGGCACATTGTCCGGCAATGGCGCCGCTGTCCTCGGTGGGGGCGGCTTCGCATTGGCCCCTGGCGCATCAACCCAACTCCCCGCTCCACCGGGCTGGTCGGGCAGATTCTGGGCCCGAACGGGCTGCAACTTCGATTCCTCCGGCGCCGGCAACTGCTCCACCGGCGATTGCGGAGGCCAGCTTCGGTGCTCCGGCGGCGGCGCTCCGCCGGTCACCCTTGTCGAATTCACCCTCGGAGACAACAACAAGAACGACCAAGACTTCTACGACGTGAGTCTCGTAGATGGGTACAATGTGGGTATGGGAGTGAAACCCTCCGGCAGCGGCTCCGGCGACTGTCAGTACGCCGGCTGTGTCTCCGACGTCAACGGAAACTGCCCTCCGGAGCTTCGGGTGACCGGAGCTTCCGGAGCGGTGGTGGCTTGCAAGAGTGCTTGCGCGGCTTTCAATGCGCCGGAGTTTTGTTGCACCGGCGATCATTCAACGCCGGAGACATGTTCGCCGACGCAGTACTCAGAGATGTTCAAGAATGCGTGCCCGACGGCGTATAGTTATGCGTATGATGATGCGTCGAGTACGTGTACGTGTACCGGGGCGGATTATTTGATCACATTTTGTCCAACCTAGTCATGCAATAGATGGCCAATGCAACGCTACAATATGAATATTATGAATAATTGTTAGTATGTTTGTTGTCTTTGGAGATTATCTTGATTTTAAGTTTAACTTGTAATGTTCTTTTGATATTTGGGAATACATTTTTTACTTTCTTATTACGTCTTTATTAGTATGTTTGTTATGGTTATTAAATTAATTTAATTTATTTTATAAATAGTTAATATACATGAGCTTAGTATATGAACAAAATTTGAAAAATTTGCAAAAAATGGGAAGAACTAATGTGGAGAAAAATGCAGGATGATAGAAAGGGTGAGGTACGGGTGGTTGCCGGCAGCAGCCGATGGGTGGGGCAATTTAACAATGTTTTTGTGAACTGCAATCTTCAAAGCAAGTGTGATCTTCAATACATGTTCCTACCTCCCTGAGCTTTTAGACACAAACTCTCTACCATGCCTGATTATATTCAGGCCTTTAAATTTGTCATTTAACTACATAGTGGAGAGTATTTGATTGACTGAAATGAAAACTGAAATAAAATAATTATTCCATTAGAATACCCAATATCATAGCTACTTTACTTGGGTAAAAAGAATATACATTACAAATAGATTAACCATTCAAAAATCTAAGATAAGATTCATTGTGAGGCAATGAATAGTCATTTCATTCCTGCCCAAAATCACAAACCAAACAAAACCCAAAATTATAAAACCCCTCTGAATCATCAGCTAAGAAGAAGAATTGCAGCCTTCATGATCTCAAGGGGAAATAAAACAAAAAAATTACAAGATAAACAAAAACATTAACAAACAGACATGCAATAATATGAGGCAGACATACAATAATAAGAGGCACTTTTCATTTCTTTGATGGCCTTGGGCCAAACCTCTTTGTTGTTTGCTCATATTTTTTTTTTTTCCTCTTTCCATACAATTGCAATTTCTCTACATCTTGGACTCTCAGTTGTGAAAGCCAATCTCAGTAAACATTCCCCACCCCCAATCCTCCCTAAATGACTTGGGACCGGGAAAATAAGACCCTACCTTCCAACGCACGTGCAATTTGTGCCATTATCCTACCCTAGAAAAACTAAAAAACGAAATTAAAAAAAAAATTGAAGCTGCCTATAATTTACAGAAATTCCGCTTCAGGAATTGTTACCAAAAAAATCTGGCCCAAAAGCGGTTATACCATGGCAATGGAATCTCATCAGAGCCTGTGCACTGACCTTCACCGTCAGCCTCATTGCTAAACAGAGTTTGATCTGAGCAGTCGAGTGATGCTCCGCACGCTAAGTTGTATGACTGGCATGCTGAATGGCACACACGAAGCCTGTTGTCACCATCTTTGTCGCACTTTTGGATCGAAATCTGTTGCAGGAAGGTGAATGAGAATTAGAAATATTTTCGTTTAAATTATCATAAATTTATTGTTAAGAATTACATGACTCCGCCCGTGCTAAATATAACCGTGTAAGTGATGTACTTGGACATGTATCATTTAAAAACCATGAGAAATCCTAGATAAAGGCCCAGCCAAGCCAAAGAATGAAGCATTTCAAACTTGGTTAAACTTGGACAAAGCTTGAAATTTACTTGAATTAAATAGCCCTGTAAAAGCATGGTTCTCCATAAGTTATGTTTCTTCATTTTCCTAAACAAGCTATGTGCACGGCAAACTACAGCATTAGAATCCCACACAATCACATTTTTACTAACACAACACGCTATAAAGATTTTACATTGAGCTGGGATAATAGTGGAATAACTTCTCCAGTGGATTCGGACTAGTGATGAAATGGGAAACAAGGAATAATCTAGACCAAGTGATCACAGACACTTTATGTGATAAATATATAAAGCAAATGCAATTTACCCAGCAAGCTAGCCGCTTAGCAGTTGCATCACAGTAGCTATTCTTAACGCGAGAGAAAACCCTCCAAGAAACACCAATTGGGAACAACCGGTTATAGTTGGGCATCACAACAACTTCTTCTAACTGCTGCAGAATACTTGATTCACTAGGTGCACAATGTTGTCCAGGTCCATCACTCTTTAACACATCTTTGCAAACTGAAAGACTGGAGACAAGCATCGAGCTGTTCTGGCATATGTAGCCAGCATAGTCCGAGCAGCGGAACTCACATACTCCATCATCACAGACCCCTCCATGCAGGCTACATTGTTCATCACAGACAGCTGCACATCATTTCAAAGCACAATATTATGCACTTAGAAAGCAATAAGTTCCATTATGTTTTTGAGATATGGTTTAAAAATCTAAAGTCCACATTTTGGGAACACCATGATGTGGACAAAAAAAGAGATCCTAAAATGATAATCACATTACCAGTAGAGCAGTCGACGCCGGTGTATCCGTTTTCACATTTACAGACACCATCTTCAAGGCACTTGCCATGCCCATAACAATTGCTAGGGCAGAAGCCTGCAAATAAAACCTTTATCAGCAACACAAGGAATACCAAATGCGCCAAGTTGACCAAGAATGTAATTTCCATGGGGGGAAGGGATAAAGAGCTCACGTTTACTACAATCAGGACCATGGAATCCTAGAAAGCAGTTACATGTTCCATCAATGCAGTCTCCGTTGAAGTTACATGAATTAGGACATTGCCTAGATTCAGAGACGGGGTCTGTGCTGCATAGTTCGTGATAAGCTGGGCAAACCAGCTCACCTACAATTTAGAACATAAGAGACCTTGAGATTGGGGAATATAAATAGATACTTGACAATAACAAGGGTCGGCAAATAAATATATTTTTAAAAAAATTAAAGAATTTCTACCATTGAATCCAGGAAACTGAACTGGTCCACCAGCTGCAGGACACACTTTCCAAACACCGTCAACAGCAACCTAAAAAGAAGTAAAGAAGTTCACAGTTACATTAGAATATCACATGAAAAACTGACAACATGCAGTTTGAAAGTGAGTCCTTAACTCATTGCTGAACATAAATGAAGAAACGATGCGGCTCAGTCGATCATGATTGGGAAAATTTTATAATTTAAAGATAATTATATATTTGCCAAGGAATTGGTTTTTCAATGTAAAGACAATTTTTCCATAATGGTCCTAAAAGAGATGGTATCAGTAGCATTCTTTGAAGGAAATAAATTCAAAATCAAACTCGTACAATGTTTCGTTGTGGCCATTCTATTCAACATAAATGAGCTCAGAATCCATGTATTAAAAACTAAAGTTAAAGGTCCAAATTATACCTCCAGTGAATTATTTATACACCTGTGCTGATAACAACCATTTCCTTGGGTCATGGAACCCCTTACAAACCCAGTCCGTACTAATGATGAGGCCATACACCTACAAGAATGAACAGAGGTTATGCCAATGCAGAATTCAAATGTGAGAATCTGAAAAAAGTTCCATAAGCATATCTCACCTTGAGCTATGTCCTCTCACCTCACCCAACATTCTGTCAGGTGCCCGAGCACTGTTCATGTCTGTGCATGATCCATCAGAATAAGCCACATAATAAGTGCAATAGTCAGCTAATGATGACTGCCCACCTGCGATGGCCAAGAATGGAAGTCAATATTCTATAATGGTTATTATTGTACATATTAAACCAAAAATGGCTATCTAAATTTAAGTGGTCACCAGCTGGAAGTGGAACATCTAAGAAATTAGTGAACAAAAAACATGCTAGAGTTTTGAATCTTTCCAGCAAGTCACAAGCAAAATCAACTACTGTCTGGAAGAGGACAGATGTCAGAGGGAATCCAAGCTTTAGCAAGATTCTAACATATCATTTAATTTAGGGTAAATTACACTCATCTCTCAGCAAGCTCCACAACTTTGAAAAAATTACAGTGACCTCCCTTTTAGCGAGGTTAAAGGGACAGGAACAAATGAAGATGGTGTGAAGACACAACTATAAATAAGGAAAAATATACATTTCATTGTAAAAAAGATGACATCATTATTTTTCCATCCACATGACTAACGAATTTCTTATGAAAATGCGGCTCAGTGCTATGAGAATTAAAACCTTGAGAGAGTCCAATGTAATTATGCTAAACTTGTGAGGCTTACTATATTTTTTTCAAACCTTAGGAGAGGTCAATGAAATTTACTCTTTAATTTATGTTTGGCAGGCCAATATACAGAATTATGAACCTTGTTGAAGAAGCTTGGATATAAACTTGATATACAAGACAGCACCTTTGGTGAATATTCGAAATTAGATGGATCCAAATTTCACAAGCGTATAAAGAATTTTTTGAATGCATGCTAATGGGATCAGTAGAATGAATACATGCAAACACAAACAAGCAGCAAAAACATGTAAATAAAGGGGCGGAAAACAATTGGTCAAGAACACACCTTTGTTAGCCTGTGGAAAATAACGGGCCCACTGAGGAAGGTCCCCACTATAGCTTACAATAGGGCAGTAACCCTCTGCTTCCCTGTTATATGTACAGCCTGGTAACTGTGTTGTGTTGCAATGGTATGCTCCCTTCCAGAGATTGCAAGGGGCAGTAACAAATTCAGTTCCTTGGTCACGGCCCCAGTCAAGACGGTCAGCCATGCTATAATTAGCCTGGTACCAGCCACTATCCTCTAATAAGGCCAGTGTCATTTTTGAAACTACTGATCTCGTATCCACTGAGCCCGTCATGATCTCGTTCATCAGAAGCCTTTTCTCCCAGTGGGATCCTGAGGCAAATTATCGAGCATATATTATTTATATAACTGCCATGGTACTGCCACTTTACCAGCAGCATTAAGCAAGTGACAGAAGAAAATTGTCGTATGAATGGAATACAAGAAGTTAGGGTAATTAACCCAACTAGACTATGCCCACACAGACTTTTCCAAAAATTCGCCCCAAAAAATAAAGAAGAAAAAAATATATCCCCAATCATGAAACCCTGTAAGAGTAGGAAATTAATAACCCAAAACCAAAACCTCTTTTAATTGGATATGGTATGATATACTGTAATCAAGCAAAATCCCAACTAGAACAACTAAAGAATTAACTCTCTAATTTTCATTTGAAGCAACTCCATAATTCTCTCCCACCAAAGCATGCTCCCCACGAGGGCAGGACCCTCACATCTAGGGACACCCCAAACATGGGCACACTCAAATTGCTAAAAGAAAACCTTTTTGTTCCGACACAGGGAATTGGAATTCTTGTCCACCAATATTACTCCATAAAAAAGGATACCCACAACATTAGGAATTTGAGACAATTCTCAATGGTAATAGTCATTGAGATGCTTTACTAAGCATTGCATACTGTCTTTCAAATGGCAGCTAAACACATCAAGCATGAAATCAGCAGCAAATACAGTTATTGCTGGGCAGAATTAAAGGAACTACACCAAAGACATACTTGAAAACAAAAACAAAGAGACGAGGATAAACAACCTGATGTACCACGCCCACCCCCATCTTCTAGCTCTAAACCAGTGAAATTCTCGGAGAATGCCTGCCAGTAAACACTCATAAAAATGTTGGTGGATTCTCTGGTTTCTTTGCTCAACAGAAATTCAAGGTCACAAACATCTGGCTAGGTTGAAGAGAAAACAAGCACAGGTACATGCACACACATTAATGATAAGCAGAAAATTCCAACAAAATCAGGAAGTAATCGAGTACCCCATAATGATAGCGTGAATGCATAATAACACGAGGGAGCACAACACGTGTAACCATCCGTCCAAGTTTATCATCCATGACTTGTTCAGTAACCTACATATGGAATCATAGATAAAACTGAGGTACAAAATAAAGTGTAAAATAAGACAACCATGTATATGTGCCTATAAACTTGAATGGACAAGAGACATTTTTACCACAAAAAGTATTTGCAAACTGAGTAAGGTTCCACTGTTAAGAATGACCAGAAAAGGAACGTGTCCTGGAAAACCTTATTTTTTTTAAAAAAATTTCAGAAAAGGAACGTGTCCTGGGTGTACTTGTTTTTATTATTATCTTTTGTGAATCGGACCATCTCGATCATAGTAGCAGGAAACTCCTACGGCACCCCACTTCGTGCAACTATGATCTAGATGGTATTCACCCACAAACACGATTTCCAAAGATCCTGATAGCGTATTTTTTATTTATTTTTTTTTTTTAAGTTAGAGAGCCTGATAGAATGATACAGCTCCTTCCAAATTACGTAGAAAAGGCTAAGAACATGTTGAAGAATGGTTTATACTCCTTGAATACACATTAATACACATTAGTCATTAGATGAAGATCATGGACATCGTAGTGGTGCCGTGTCTACTGGTATGGTCCATATTGAGGACATACTGAAATAGCTTAAACATGGATGCTCAATGGGGCAATGTACTGTAAGATTTCATATAATATTAACACCATCTGATGAAAGAAATCTAAACAAAAATAAATAAATAAATAACAATATAAAGTAGGAAGTGGAACAGAGCTCATCTACAGATTTTAAGGCAGAGAGGACCAAACTATCCTAGCAAATCCCAAAACCCACATGTTTAGCTGGGATTAGCAGCCAATGAGATTGCATCTCCATAGACGTGCTAATTTAAAAGACTGCCATACAATACTAATAAAAGATTCTTTATGTCATAGTTCATATAGAGAATCTCATGCTATACGGTAACCAGATTTACCTGGTTACGTCTTCTTTTCCTCTCATCCCGAAAATGTGCAAAGGCATGAGGATCAAATCCAAGAACATGCATGACCTGAACAAAATGAAACTCATTGATCAAAGAAAACAAGACCTTTCATACCCTTAGTGTTTACATCAAGAAAAGTCGAATCACCTCATGTATGAGCGTAGCTGAAAGTAAGGTTTCTGCTTCGGCAGTCAAGTGGCGAGGGGCAACATTCACATGTCCTGCATATGATCAGTGACATCAAAGTTTGGAACACAAGCATCTGGCACATGCCAGGGTTCAATGTCTTCGAGAAAGCATTGTTACATAAAGAATTACCAGCAACTGCACGACCCCATTGATCCCGTTCACATGCCACTGCCCATGCTAGGGTGTTGCCTGTTGTAGGTCTAGTAGTTACCAAAAGAACTAAGTCCGCACCAACAACACCATCTGGAAAACAGAAAATAAAACAAAAAGAAAGGTTGCCTTTTAACTATACTGATGGGGAAAAAAAGAAGAAAATAACCACCAACTACTAATTTGCAAGGTGCAAATGACAAGGCAGGCTGGCATATGTTGCAACAAATATACCTTCTACATATTCCCGTGGAAGTTGTACGCCTCCATCTTGTCCACATGCAGAATATCCGCTCAACCGCAAATTCCCTTTCACAGGCTCAACAGCCAAGGCTCTTTTGAACCAGTCTGCTGTCTGCCCTAGAGCCTGTATTAAGCTACTTGCAAAAATTAGAATATCTTCCGGGTTATGAAAGATACGGGTGATGTGAAATGCCATCTTCATTGGGTATAAAAGGTCAGTTATGGAGCAGAGCAACATATAGCTGAAAAACTCAAAATAGAAGCACTAAACAATGTAACAAATGATACCTTTCGAAGGCGATGCCTTTTGTCATCCCGAGATATATCATCTGAAGTGCAATTATACCAGCAGTCACCAAAAATTGGAGGATCACCATGAGGATTGCAAGACGGCACACCACGATTGGAATTTAGAGGAGGCTCCCCTAGCTAATTGATGAAAAACAAAAAGCAAAACTTCAACATTAGTTCCACAGCCACAACCCATGTACAAGACAGAAGTTACAAATAGGTTGATTACACTTGCCTTGACGATGCCACCAACATTTCGACAATCTCTATCAGTTGAGTGGCCGACAGCATCATAATTTAAATAAATTCTAATAGGTTGCTTTACATCATTTTGTTGCTCCAGAGATTTGGAAATTCCAAGTAATGCCCTCCCCTTGCGGTGAAGGGTTTTTGAGATACCAGACCCCTCATAAACCTGTGGAGTAACAGAATACACCTTGCGACCTGGCCGCCTCCTTTGTTCAAGTATTTCATCATGAATGCAGGAATGGGATATAATGTTTTCATCACCCTTTTCTGTTCCTTGCCACAATTGGTGTTCTTGGGATTTTGCACAAGTAGCTTCCAACCATAGCAATATCAATACAATCTGAAACATTGGGAGAGAAAATGAACAAACAGGAAAAGAAATCAATATATATATACATATATATATAAGAGTTGAATTACAGTTTTTCTTGGCCCAAATGTTGGACAAGCACAAAGTAGAATCCCCAATTTAAGTTTTGACATTGCAAAAGCAAGAGATCTGTAATGACAACACTTATTCTGCTTCTACCAAACCAAAGAAGCAATCTTTGAACCCCATAAATAGTCTTGAGCTCGATTAAATATTGTAGGATTGATCCAAAAATACTTTCCACCCAACCAACCATCATCGGCTCAATAGCCCCAAATCCATGGGAAAGCATACACATAAAGTGTAAATACGTGCACACATACGGATCTTGATAAAATTCTAACCCATAAAAGCAACAAAAAAAAAGTGTGAACTTTTCAGCCGTAGCTTGCTTTCTTAAGTAACTTATGAACAGTGCATGAAAACAATACCAGAAATGAAGACAAGAATAATGGAAAAGGAAAGAGAACGAGAGAAGATAAATAAAAAAAAGAAATTAGCAAAAATTTAGAAACTTCAGAACAAAATCTTCAACAACTACTTCCAATTTCTGACCACAATTGCTCCAATAACAAAACCCCAAATCACAGTGCTTAATTGAATGATGTTTAAGAGTGTCAGTCTCAAGACTCCCAAATTTTCTTTTCTCAATCCCGCAATTTCTAAGCAACCAAACAGAACCAAAAAACCCTCTGTTCCCAGCTTAATTTCACAGCATTCGGTTAGGAAAAAAAAATTAAAAAATTAAAAAACCAAAACCCTAAATCTCCATTTTCAACAGAAAAAGCTACTGTGAAAGAGAAATCTTACCTCAAAAACAACAACGGCGAATCGAAGCTTGGTCCGAAACAACCTAGGTTTCGAAGACACAACGCATCGACTACACCGAATCTTCAACTCCATCAAGCAATGTGTTCAACAAAACCAACATCGATTCCATCAAATCACCGGCGATTTTCCGATCGGCTCCACTACCCAGAAAAATCGCAGGCTTCCCCGCATTTCAAGTATGTGGGTATATAAATATTGAGAGAGAAAGTGAAACACTTTTGCCCCTCTCTCTCTCTCCAAATGAGTCGCTGTGATTCGAAGGATTGTCGTTATCAACCGGGTCTCTTGCAATCTGAGAGTTTTTATGGACTACTTGGCTCTTCTCTGCTTCTTCAGGCAGAGATGTTTGTCTCTTGAACTGTTAGAGAGAGAAACAGATCAATCTCTTTCTTCAGAGATGAAAGAACACTGCATAGTAGAGAGAGAAATAGAAGACAATGAAAACAAAAAAAAATAAAATAACAGACAAATACATGAGAAACAGGTGAAGGTGGGTAGAGTTGGTAAATTCTATATTTAAAAAAAAAAATTCAAAAAAAGTAATTGAAATAAAATATTGTACTTTAACATTTGAGAGACAATTGGTTTGAGATAAAGATTATGATAATGAGGTTTGAGTGCTTTTGAATCTAATTAATATAATAGTATTTAATTTTGAATCCTTGTACAGATTAGGACTGTTAAAGTAATGTTAATATTATCATGCATTAAGGTGGGTAGCTTTGTAATGTTATACGTTTGGTCGTTCGTGCACCTTACATTTACCTAAGATGTTTAGTCATTTATTTAATAAATATTTTTAATATTATTTAAATTAATTAATATATTAATAGATAATATGATATAATTTTAAAAAATTTAAATGTTTATAATTTGTATAAAAAATATGATCAAAAATAATATTATAATATATATTAATACATTAATTGATATATTAATTAATACATATAACATCACGAAATAATTTTCAGTAAAACAATTAGATGATATGCACGCAGCCAATTAGATAATATGCACGCCTTGAGGTGGAGTACTTAGTCCATGACTATTTAAGATGGTTAATTACTATTAAATGCATTATACAATGTTAATACCTAATTAGTGTGCACTTTATTTACACTCGAACACCAGAAGTCTTAACGCTAGGCTTAGATTTATTCCAAAGAGTAATGATTCATCCCTCCTTTTTCCCTCACCCCTTTGACCTCCTCTCTCTCTCATTGGTCACCTTTTCTTTTTCTTTTTCTTTTTTTTCCTGCTCCACCAATCACCCCCTGCCACGTGACAAAGGGGGGTGAGGGGGTGACCCCCAAAAGGGGGTCTCAAGCATTATTCTTATTCCAAAATGTAAACCCTTTGTATTTGCGACAATTTATTATATGGGCTTAACATTATTATTTTGAGTTGTTTTGAAAAATTAATTAAAAGTTGATTTTTTTATTTTTTTTATTTTTTATTTTTTTGAAAAAATATATAAAAAAATAAATAGTTGATGTGGTATAAAATAGACTAAAAGTTAATTTTAACTTTTAGTCATCTTTCCAAAAGAAGCCTTTTATCTTTATGTATAAATTATACTCGCTATTCTTGGATTTCTATTAAGATCTCATTTGGGAATAGATTTTTTTAATAATTTTTTAACTTTTTTACTAAAATATGATATAAAAAAAATTAATATGTTTTAGATGACTTTTTTATTTTTTATGAAAAAATATACAAAAAGTAGAAAGAATATGAAATCTTTGACTTTTTACTATAGGTGGTTAGATTTTTGATTTTTTTGGATAATTTTTTGACATTTTAGTAAAAATCACTACTTACCAAACGAGGCACTACTTACCAAACGAGGCCTAAGTATCTTGTAACATTAGAAGTTAAAGGTTCTGTCGTTAAGGCAAATTACACAAGAATATGAGAGCAAATTACTTTAATTAATAAATATTTAACGTTTGAAATTAATTAGTATTGGGAACATTTAGACATTATTTGGTGCAATTTTTTGTAGAGAAAATTAGTCATGGATTATGAGATGTTTGATAATATGATTCAGCATCAATTAAGTGATAACAATTGTTCATTTGCTATTACTTAAAAATTTAAATGTCTCTCAAAATGTAGATTAAAATTTAAATCATATAAAACTTACTTAATTCTAATTGAATTTGTAAATATTAAATATAAGGCCAAGTTTGGGAACACCCCAAAAAGCCAAAAAGTCAAAAAGTTACTCAAAAAGTTAAAAAGTTATCACTATTCACCAAAAGTCAACAATTACGGCTGCACAACTCTCAATTCTAATTTTCTCCTACAAATCAATTTTTACAATTTTTTATTACACATTTTTCCATAAAAAGTCAAAAAGTTAACCCAAACATTCATATTTTCAACCTCAACTTTTTAGTCTAAAAAGACAAAAAGTGCACTTATTTAGTATTCCCAAACTTGGCCTAAGTATCAATATACACTATTATAAACTTGTTGGCCTTTTTGTCTTTCTAAAGTTAATAATGTAAATTTAATCGTGCTAGCAAGGATCAATTAGTCCTTACAGATTTTATAATTGCCAACCAATTATCAAGCGATTGTGTTGAAGTTTTTTCAACCTCGATGAAGAGAACTTTTACTAGTGACTTGTTTAAGAGAAAATTATGAATAGTAACAAGTAAATATAATTCAGCAATCAAATTTCATTAAGCAAATGAAAATTTACAATGAAGTTACAATAATCCAGCCTCGACAAGATTCACAGCAACAAACTACTGAAAAACTACTCCTAGGAAATGAAGTGCAGTACAGGAATTAAAGTACTGAAAATGTAAAGAACTGGAAATGTAAAAAACTGGAAAGAAAATATTAAGTAAATGACTGGTTTCTAGATCTGAGTCTGGGTCCCTTCTATTTAGCCCTCTCTGCTATTTATACTTTTTAGTGATAATCGTTGAAGTGGCCTTCTAATCGTCGAAATACATTTCCACGATCTCTAGTCATGGCTTCACTCAATTAGCTCCCACTACGCCTCTTTTGCAATTAGGCTTTCCTTCTGAATTTGAATTTGAATTTAGATAACCATTAGGCTATGTCATCTCGCGCCTCTTGACTATTCAGATGCCACGCAGATCCGATACTACTAATACGAACTACCACGTGTCTGTCTTTGATTGGAAACTTGCTTTAATTTTCCAAATTGCCCTTTGTATACCACGTGTCACTCTACGATTGGCTTTTACAATTTATATAGCCAACATTACCCCCTGCACTAATATACCCAATACTTGGTGATATTAGTGGACTAGAACAATCTACGCACGTCCTTGGACGTGCATGGACTCTGTATATTCTGGAAGTATAATGGCTTTTTGAATAATGAAGCAGTGAACATCATTAAATCCTTGTGCTTTGCACTTCCATTCTTTGAGTAGACGAAAAGACTGGTACATCCCCAGTGGCCAATCACACTTTCTCTTACATTGATCGAGCATACGAGAAGTCTTTGGAAGATGATTGCAGGCCTCGAAAGAATCTTAATGCATTTATTGGCTACACCTATCTGCTTCCATTTATACAAGCCATGGAAACTTTTGCAACTTACTAACCTTTAGACCAAGAATCTGCCAACTACAAACCTTTGGACCAAGCATTTACAGAAATGGATCTTAAAAGCTCCTCTTCTGCTCCACCACTCTCCGCATGGAACCAAACTGCTTATTCTTCCTCCAAGCCAACTGGCTAGGAAAGTTGGTCAAAACCTGAAAAACCCCAATTAAGAGAGCAAATTCATCATCGATTTGTTGAATTCGATGATCCCCTTTATGTTCCTTATTCTGGTCAGAGCTCAGTGGTTTACCTCTATGTACCCATTGATCACAGACGCAGTCTAGAAGACAACTTGCTTGTAGCGTGGCACACGTATTTCATGCCAACGAAAATATTGCGAGAAACTCCTTATCCAGACGAAGCACATGAATATAATCCGTCATTCTTGGCTAAGAAGGCAAAACTTTGCTCTTCTGACTAGCTCGAATGCGTGAATGACCCCCAGTTCCCCTCTTCCTTCGGAATGGATCCCTCTACACCTCATCTTTCTCAGAATCCTCATTGGATTGAGGAATTAAGACTTACACTTTTCGAGAATCGATGTTTTCCTTCTTACCAACCTCCAGCTCTTCTAACTGATTTTGAGTGATACAAAGCTCAGCTTCTGCTTGCCGCCTTGTCTCACTTGCCTTTCAATGTTCTTGGAGATGAGATTCTTCTTAAGAACTTCCAATGGGCCTGTGATGTTATGACTCGGGGTCATGTTCTCAACCCCATTACCCAGACAGAGCTTCAAGCTTTTTCGGATCAACTTCCACTCCTTCTTCATTGGTACAAAATTTCTTTAGCTACCAGTGACTCTTTGGATAAAATCACAGCCAATCGAATTCAGACTCAGCACGAAGTACAGAACCTTTTTGAAGAATATGATGACTTCAAGAATAAGGATTCATTATACTGGGATGATTTAACTATGGACGAGATGGAGCAAGGCTTGAAAGAGACAGAGTTCAAGGTGAAAGCTGAACAACTTTTTCACTAAATAAGAGCATACCAGCTGCAACAACCTAACTTTGATAGGATAGAAAATAGAATAAAGAAAGAATATAAGTTCATTGAACATAGTTAGGTTAAATTTAATGAACTTGATACTTTTTATATTCCCTATTATTATGAAATTGAATTCGTAGCCAAGTAGGCATTTCTAATGTAATTACTTACATATCAATAAAACTAGGGGTTTTCTTTCCCTATTTGGCATGATCTAGTTTTATGTTCCAATTGTATGCTTGTGACCATTTTATTCACACAATTCAAATAAAATTAGAGCTTTGAATTAACCAATTTTTGCTTCAAAGCCTGATTTGAACATCTCCAAAGTATGGATTACAATTGACAATTTTGCCTTAGGTCTTCTCATTCCAATCGCATGGTCAACATAATCTAACAGCTTTGAATTAACCAACCTTTGTATCAAAGTTACTTTTAAGTGCTTCGAAGTATGAAACTACTTTTAAAAGTAATAATGTTGCTTCCCAAAAAAGGGTTTATTTTGACAGAAAATCCCAAAAGGAATTTTTCATATTTAGGTAAGTCTTTTTGGATTTTGATCCTTTACTTAACTTGGTACTGGCTTTGCAACTTTGAAATCTAAAACATTAAATAATAATCAAATCCAGCTACAAAATACTTCAAAGTTCACTTCGAAGGATTTTATCTTTTACAAAAAACCTAAGAGCAAGTCCCTTCGAAACAGATCAAACCTAAACATTCTTGCATTCTTGGGCATAAAATGTGCTTCGAAGTCAACTACCTGCGCTCAAAGCCCTAGCTGGATGTTTGACATCAGGCTTTGGAGCCAAATCCTGGCTTCGAAGCCAAATCTGAGTGTTTGAGATATCTGTTTTCGAAGCCAATCTGAGT